TTAACGCATCACCGACGGAAACCAAACTGAACTGAAATCAAACGTCGTTAATTATTCTACGCAACTTTACGTGCCGTTTTACCCACGTTGATTCTTACCTCGAGCACCATGTCCTCTTTACGGAGCAATCGTTCATGATATATATATGTATATATATATATGTATATATATGTAAATATATCCATATGTATGTATATATAAATATACATATGTATATGTATGTATATATATCCATGGTATATATATATATATATATATATATATATATATATATATATATATACACATGTTATGTATATAAAGTGTGGCTTTCTCGCACGACGCGTTCGCTACATACTGTTTTTCCGAATAGCTCTTCTTGTCGTGTTCGTCGTTATTCGCAGTGTCAAATATACTTACAATAGAAATATATTAAAATTGCAAAGTTTCACGGAGCGCGCCGGAATAATCGCTGAACCGCCCGGCGCGGCTAATACTCTTATGTAATCGGTTATCACTTATCATTAGCGTACTCGCTAACGTATATCCTGAATGAGGTTTTCTCCGTACTTCTCTATATATCGCGTGTGTGTGTGTGTACACGTGTAATAACCGTGTACGCTTTGTGTGCACGTAAAACAACGTGTGTGTGTGTGTGTGTGTGTGGTGTAAATACACGTATGTGTATCGTATGTTTTATATATATATATATATATATATATATATATATGTATATATATGTATATATATATATATATATATATAGCGAGAGTCGGGCAGTTGATTTAATTCGTTTCTTACAGACTGACAAGGAACAAAATTTTTTTTTTTCTCATTTCAAATTACTACCTCTGTCGAATAAAATCGTTCGACGGTCGAGGCTAATATCCGTGTATATGGCTCTCGACTTTCGATAGAGAAACGGCACGCGCTCCGAAGGGGAAACGAGAATCCTTTGACAAACTGGAAGTGCCCGACTCCGACTTCAAAGGACTCTTGCTATACGCAAAGCTTGATTTTGCCCCGGTGGATCATGGGAGAATTTACGTCGACGACAAACGACGAGTAAAATCGAGGTACAGGTTATATCTCGTCTCCCTCTTTCTTTCTCTCTTTTTCCATGCCATTTCTTTCTCTTTTTTCTTTGTCTGAATCTACGTTCCTCGAATTTCTGACTGTTCGCGATGATCGTGTCAACATTTGCTCTCTTTTTCCAACGTTCAGTCGAAAGAGCTCGTCTTTCATTAGATCGAGAAACGAAATAACGACGCGACCGCGAGTATGTATGTATGTATATATGCGTGTAAGAACAGCTCGACGAATGGTCACGAACAGATATCGAGTCTCTCTCTTTCTCTCGCTCTCAACTATTTTTGCTCGTTTTTTTGCTGTTTCAGTTTTTTCTTTTTTTTCTTTTTACATAGGGCAGTGTTGTGGACGGTTACGGAATCAACGTCCGTAATCCCAAAAAATGTCTCCTACAAGTATATATATATATTTATATATATATATATATATATATATATATATATATATACTATTTAATAAGTACATATTTCAACAACCGTTTTTAGAACTAAGTTTTATAAGGTGTCGTATGATTTCCATTTTTTTTTTTATTATTATTATGACGCATTCCTTTGTTCTTTTTCTCCGTTTTTATTATGAAAACACATTTGGAAAAAAAATCACGTTTCACCGCTTGTTCACCGTCCTTCTTCCCCTCCCCTCTATGGGGTTTTCTATCTGGAAACCAAAAAAAAAAAAAAAAAAAGAAATGTTCAACTCTCTCTTTCCCTCTCTCCACCCCTTCTCATTCGCCCGATTTCGAACGTTTTCCAAATCGAAGCCTCCCTTTCCCTCGCAGCTCGATACATAACTATATTAATAATAACCAGTAATAGGTGTATATCTATCTATCTATCTATCTATCTATCTATCTATCTATCTATCTAACTAACTATCTATCTATCTATCTATCTATCTATCTATCTATCTAGTAAAACAGCATCATATTAAAGTCTATCCTCTTCCTCCTCCTCGTTATCCTCGTTATTCTCCTCGGACTCCTCCTTGTAACCGGGATGCTCCGAGATGGCGTAGTAGTTGCCGTTGTAAATCACGCCGAGCTCCCGCAGCACGTCACCCCTGATAATCGCCTTGATCGTCCAGTTGTAACACTCCTCGCTCTCGCTCTCGCGATCCAGCCGCTCCACGTCCAATATCTTCGAGCTGAGTCGTTCGAGTATTATACCGATGTCCTTGATGCTTAGATGCTTCTGATCTACCGTGAGCTGATCGATGAGCAATAAAAACTTCTCCGAGGTGACGATCTCGTCCTCCATGATCGTGTTCTCGGTCTCGGACTCGGAGCTGTCGTGCTCCTGATGATGATTGTGATGATGATGCAGGTGAAAGCCGGCGGCGGAGTTGCCAGCCAGCCGGGAGCTCGACTCCTCGTCGGCCGTGTCGCAGAATCTCACGTGCCCTTTGCTCAGACCGGTTCGTCTCGTTCCGTCGGACAGCGACGAGGGCGGCTGAGGCGACGACGTTTGGGTCTGTTGCTGCTGTTGTGGCGGCGGTTGTTGCTGCTGCTGCTGCTGCGCGTGCGGATGATGATGCTGGTACTGTTGCTGCGCGTCCTGGATCGGCGAGGTGGCCACCGATTTGTGCACCGCGATTCTACGCCCCTCTTCGTGCAGCGCGCAGCAATGAAAGTCGCACTCGCCGCTGGCGCCGCCGTCAGCCCCGTTGACAGGACTGCCGTTCCTCACCACCGGCTGGTGAATATGATTCGAGCATTCCGGCGTGTGGATATGGATGGTGGTGCTGTCGAACGAGTTGGTACCCTGCTTCACCAGACGACCGGGGATCCCGTGCGGCTGCGGCTGTAGCTGCGGCTGTTGTTGCTGCTGCTGCTGATCGTTACCACGTAGGCGGGTTTTAATGGTTTGTCTAGATCGGAGATTCGAGAGAGGATTGTCTCGAGCGGGCTACTACTGTGCGGTAATCGACGTGGCGCGTAAATACGCGCGACTCGAACTCAACTCGACTCGACACACACGGCTCGACGCGACTCGAGGCTTCCGGGCTCGGAATCGTGCAGCTCTAACAGCGTCCTGGATCTCCATGGAACGTGACATTGGCGCTCGGTGTCTCCTGCGCCATCGAAATCGACTCGTTACCCGGAAACCTCGCGTGAATCGTTTTCTACAGTGAGTGAGTGAGAAGAAAGAAAGAACTCGAGATAGAGTGACCTGTCCAGTGAATGTTGCTCACATTGTTCACGAGAAGTTGATTAACTTTGTCTATCGTGCTCTTTTCATGGTTTTTTGAAATTTACATGATAATTTCAATGGAAACTTACAGGTTTCGCCAAACATCATAATTGTTGTAATATAAAAGTTAATATCTTTAACTAACCAACTAACTTTGCTTGCAAATAATCATGATTAATACAAGTGACTAAAATTTTTTGACAATTATCAGTAATAATTTTATTTCGGTTATCATCGATGACCCGAATTTTAAAATTTAAAAGAAATTTCTTCTTACCTATAACCTGTATGGTATTACATTTTTTTTATTCAACAATTGTCCTCCACTAAAGTAAATTTTGTTACTTGACCTCTACAATTTGCGTATTAAAATGCATGTGACCATAAATTTGTTTTTATAATTACATTGTTCAAGTGTTCTTCTAACAAAAAATTTTATGTGAATAATGGATTTCTTAGAAGACAACAATGAATACTAATGAATGAACAATTATTTTAATCCTAGTCGAAAAATTTAAAGTCATCAAGTTCCTAATGATGATATCATTGAAAATATAATCACGTCATGAAGAATTTGCGAAAATTAAATAAGTTTGGATTATTCAAAAGACGGTTATATATTTCAACTGCTTCAAAATTGCTCTTTACAATTACACGAGAATTGTATGTGTTATTAATGGAAAGGAAAGTTTACTTTTAACAAATGTCATTAATTCATGTTATGTACTCTGTTGCTTTTTTTCTTTTTTAATTCCACAACAATCGCTTCATCAATTTTTTTTTAATTTAGAAATATTTTATTATTAATCAACATCCATGAATATTTGGATTCATAGAAATATGTAAAATATACTTCAAATTGTTTAATGTTTAATCTAATTGTGGTCTCTGAATTTCTCACAGACAATAATATACAGGGTGACGTAATTTGATCATCTTAAAATATCTCCGCTATTTCTGGCGATACAAGTAAACTTTCACATCGTGTAATAGAAAGAAAAGCAAAGTTCTCCGAAAAAAAATTCAAGTATCTTTAAAATCTTTGAAAAATTTTTCTCTTTGGTAACTAAATTCAAATCGTAATTATTAAAAAGAGACTCGCGAAAAGCCTTTTTCTACACCTTTTTTTTTTTTGTTATATGAAAAAATGGAAAAATATGTGTTTCTGTCTGAAAATTATAATTTTACTAGATCGTTAAAGATTATGGATCTTAAAAGGAAAAGAAAAATATTGATGAATAATATCAATCAGTATAATTAAAAAAAAAATGATTGAAATTTTATATTTATCTACAGCTTCGTGAAATGTACAGAAAGTTTTAGAATACAGCTAGAAACATGTCTCAATCACTTTAAAATTCCAATACGGAATAGATGCACTTAAATTGACATAAATGTGTCTGTGACATACATTTCCATTTAAGTGTGTCTCTCTATATCGGGATTTTAAAATGATCGAAATAAGTGTTTCTAGTCATATACTAAAAGTTTCTATAAATTTATGAATATCTATGAAAAATCAAATATTCTGTTCGTAAAGATGAATGTAAAACTCGAACGATACATACAACAGGTACGTTCCTTCGGATCAACCAGTGAAAGATTAACAGTAAAAAAACATTTTTCCACTACAAATATTGAAATTGTAACAAAAATAGTAATTGTACGATCACTTCAAATATTTATGGATGATAATGTATCTACACATTATACCTCTTTTTTTTTTGTTTAACATTTTTAAAATAAAGACTCACAATTGTATTCAGAATTTTAATAAAATATGTGCAGTATTGCTTTTTTCCCCTACTGATTGCAACAGTTGTCCTAATTGATCAACGATAGATAAATAAACCATAAGAATCATATTTTCTTCAAGAATATTATCCTCATTATTCGTGAGGTAACCTCTGTTCAGTCACTAAAAATTGATGTTCATTCATTTTGCTCATTTTTATCTGAATCCTGTACCGGGTTTGCAATGAACACTGCAACTGTCAAACTTGCCAGAATTGTATTCTATATCAAACTTTTTATTATATATTCTTTGAAATTGGTTTTCAGATACTTGGAAATGAGTTCGAAACTAATTTCTAAATTCTCAGAATTCGTAAAATTTCGAAACTCCCGAAGCTTGAATTATTGATTTTATTTTGTAAGAGAAATCTTTTTGTTTCAAGAACTGGAGTTACAGCACTTTTATATAAATTTTCATTGGTTATAGTCAAGCAAAAAACAAACAAGCATTCAGAAACGTTAAAATCCAAACTCTTTCCGGATATAATCTACTTTCCTTTTGTCGAGTTGTAAAAATCTTCATCGTTAATGGCGGCGTGTAATAAAATATTTTTTCGATGAAATTTCTTTAGATTTCGATATTCTATTTAGGATTAGAACATTTTAAATTCTTTTAGATTTGATTTCTAAAAATAAAAATCGACAACGAGCGTTTCGAGATATTCTTCATTCGCGCTGCAAATGATTCTTTTACTCGTTGGTTTCGCGCTCTTTCTTACCTGAATCTCAAGAGTTTTGAAAAAAAGCACAGTCTCGAGGCTCGAATCTTTTTTTTTAGATCTCGAATGGCCCGTTCTTACATTTAATAACGTGTCAGAACGTAATGACGAAAATGCGAATATACCATGTTACATTATTTTATATCGTGCTGTTATAACGTTGAAGACTAAATACCGATTTTAATAGACAGTATAAGAAACTCAAATGTTCGTTCACTGGACAGATCGCCCTATAGATATAGAGAAGGTAGTTGCGAATTCTCGTACCATGTCGTCATGATTTATCACAGTGATATGGGGGCTGCTGTAGCGGCTGGGACCGACCTCGGCCGCCAGGTGACCTAACTTCCCGCCATAGTTGAGCTTGTCCAGGCTGGTCTGGATGACCAGCGGTGGCCGTTGACTTAAATCGGTCTTCTTAGTCGGCGAATATTTCGAGGTTTGCACGTCTTGTCCTTTCTGCTGTTGCTGCGCCTGCGACGTCGATGAACGCTGGTCCCAGTGCAGCACCACCGTGACACGTCCCTTATTGTCCATGATCTTCCACGACGGTGTCTCATCGTGCAGCTCCAACGCGTGGATTGTTTCGCAGACTATTTTCGGGATTGCCGAAATCGCTGCAATCAATAGGCGTGGAGAGGCATCAGTAGGTATAATTGGGCTCTTTCGTACTGTCTTAGTTATCTTCAGGAACCATAACTATTATAACTAGAATAAAAAACAGTCATAGGATAACAATTACTTTTTCTTCGCTAAAATGTTTAAATAACGATTAATAAGTATTAAAGGTTCTTTAGTTACGAATAATCATTGATAAGATCGTTAAGATAAAAGAATTTGCTTCGGTTGCTCATCGGAAGTTATCAGCGAGGGAAATTTATTTCGGTTCTCTTTCTCATTGGATTTACATCGGAAAGTAACTTTACGGTCAAATGTTACGGTCAAGTGTACAGGTGCGAAGCATTGTTTTCGAATGCAAAATTTACGTTATAAAATAGAGCTTTCCTTGTTACGAGCAATTGAGATAAAATTTTTCTCGCCAATAATTTGTAAGCAGCCGAAATAAATTTCCCTCATTAACTATTATCAGCGATCGAAATAGAATTCCTGTCATCAATAATGGTTATCGGCAACGAAAAGAAATTTCAGTCATTTACAATTGCTATTAAGCAAAATGTTTAATTTTTTAGTCGTGTAATTTTTTGAAAAATTTTCCTTACATTTTGAGATTAATATCGTCAACTTGAATGAGAGATAAGTTTCAGTAAGTATTAATCTTTTTCATACAAATTTTTGAAATAACTGTTATTTTTAGTCTCCGGTTATATAATATTGTTGATAGTTGAATAGAGTGACAGTTGATTGTGACTGGTATTATAGTTCATTGTATTAACAAGTACAAACTGAAAAGAAGAATGAAGAGTAAAACTAAACCAATAACTATACAATTGAATATAATTCTATTGTAACGATGCAAAGAATATTTTCTATATTGTACTTTGTATGGTTTTAAACGGTTAATATTTTCCAAATAGTGGCAATACTATAAAATATCAAATACTTTTCGTATAATTTTATAAAATTATATTCAAATACTTTTTTTTATTTTTTATTACCATCGATTAGTTTCCTTATAATGTTATATAGTTTTTTCTATTCATTGCTGCAATTCTTTATTCATTTTCGCATTCAAACTGGCATTTCTTCTAATAACTAGATGGTTGAAGACTTTTCAAAGTGACTTTGCGAAGCATGTCTGTCCATTGATGAAATTTTGGAACGACTGAAATTTCTGTTTCTTTCACATTAATCAAAAAAAAAAAAAAAAAATCCGTACAGATTTTACGAAGCATTTGTTAAAAATGAATGTAAAACTCGAAAATGCAGAAAATTAGCAGTAAAGAGACGTCCGTGGAAACGTAACAAAAATATTGATCCTTCAATGGAATTGCATTAAATGTCCAATTATTTATGCACGGTAGCGTACATACTACGTTCTATCGATCTTTTTTTTCTGACTCGTTACCGGCGCTGCGTACACCCACGTTGTTCATGGAACAAATCGTTATCTGATCGCCCTCTTCAACGAATCTGCACTTTTGTCTTATTGTACTTATAAATCGATACTTCGTCTTCTGAATAGAAGAATACGGAGGACTCGCGTTCCGCTCGTCCCTATTATCATCTACGAAACTCACTTTGTCGCGGTGCATCCACGCCGCGATTTGTTGTCAATTTCAACAAATTTTAAGTTCAACATTTGGTGAATTTCTATTTTAGCGACTTTTCCACAATTTTGACTATTTCGCCACCACCAACTTTAACAACAGGTTCATTTCATCACTAAAACAAGAAATCAATCCAGGGAAGGTCGAAAAGTCATATAGCTCTTGTTACATTTAAAAAAAAAAAAGTCACAGTAACAAAGTCAGAGGCTAGCGAAATAGCCAAAATTGGAAAAAGTCGTTAAACTAGAAATTTATCTCGATATCTCTTCATATGCTTCTTATCACTGAGTTTTATATTTATTTCGAATTGTGCCGCCGTACGTATATTGAAAAATAAATTCTCGTTTTCTGAAAAATACTGAAGCTTGACATACTTTCTTTTCTCCTAGATATATTACTCGGCTTTTTGAATGTTTCGCTTTTTTTACCATGTGAACTTCGAACTGTGATTGTTCGTCTTATAAATCGCCCATTTGCGATGAAAATGACACAACTTAAAAATCGCGATTGCAAAGATGTTGCGGAAATGGTCCTTAAAAAATTATTATAAAATCATATTCATTGACCCTCGTGATTTAGACAGTAGAAAGGAATTACATTGTTCTTCCTAGTTCATGTAATGCCGTGCTTTTGTAAACATTTCTTATTGTCAATTTTGTCTTGGCAATCATTGTGAACAAACGCATGTTGGAGAAATGTAGTATTACACTTTTCCCTACTATTTACAGTATAAAAAATCTGAAAAATTCTTCAGATACTCATCAAAGTCTCTAATATATCGGTCAGGTCTGATATATTGATCAAATATTTGAAAAAATAATTAGCAAAAATAAAAATTCATTCCGAAGGGTGAAATTTCATTAACAAGATTATATCTAACTCTGTCCAAAACCAATTGTTCGCTCTTTTCGAGTTGCGTCGCAAGAGTGCGACATATGTGTATTGCCCTAATTTGCTTAGCGTGTTTAATACTAGCATTCCTTGCAAACATTCCATTACGTTACAATAAATTCTAATCTATTACTTTACAAACTCCAGACACCGTATTATTTTATACGTCTAGCTAACAAGGGAACCTGAAAATTCAAAAAATTATGAAACTTCATATATAAGTAGAGTAATTCATGTATAACACGAATCTGCTTTCTGCTCGTGCGACAATATGGTTTTATGGAGTGAATCATTCCTTGAAAAAATTGCAATAGGGCGAAATATCTTAAGAATGGGAGATATCGTAAAAATCCTTAAACAAAAACTGTATGGTTTTCTAATTTACAAAGAGATTGTTTAAAAAAATTTTTCGAAAAGTTCATATTTTTCAAATTATCCTCAATTGAATTTTTTATGTATTATAATGTATTTTTGTATTATAAATATCATTATTAAATAATATTAAATTTAATATCAAAAGAATTAAATAATAATATTTATATTAAATAATAATGCTTGCAACATAGCAAATAATATAAATATTTCATAAATAAATTATTTTTCCTATTCTGTTTTTGTAATACTATTAGTATTATTATTTTGAAAATCATGTTGGTTCGAATGGTAATTCTATATGCAAAGCTGAAAAAACAGAAATAGAGATACTGATATTTGCCCATTTAAAATTTTGTTTTTGAGATAATGGAGTTTGAAAATTTGCCAAATATGCTTAAGTTAAGACTGAGATCTTAGAAAGATAAAATTTTTCAATTTAAAGTCCCGTTAAAATCGCCTTAATTAATTTTCAAATTTAATTCTTTCGAAAATGCAATCTTAAATTAATCCTTCTGACTTATTTTTACACATCGAATCAACTCCTCATCGATATAATAATAACAATCCTGTATAATAATAATCAATGTTTATAGTGTACAAAAATAATAAAAATAAGAAAAAAATTGCTGTAAACGTTTTGTTACAAAGTTGAATATTAAACATAGCCTGAATCGATTTGTAGTTTGATCATCTTGATATCTCTTGATTTCTATTTACTTATGGAGAATTCTAAAATAAAACATTCGTGTAATACGAATTCAATTATTGAGATAAAGCAAAGTCCTTAAGAAATTCAAGATGTGCATAATAAATTCCACGTTACATCGATGCCAAGCTTCTATCTATACATCAATGTAGAACTTAAAAATTTTCAAGGATCCTCACATTAAGAAATATCTTTGCAAATGCAAATATTCAGACTATTCATATATATTCAGACTATTCAGAATTTCCCAACAAAATTCACATAATATATCTTTCGTATTTTCACTTGTAAATTATGCTTCCGGACGAGTAAGAAAACCTTGTATTCGTGAAGTATTTCTCCTCGATTTTTTTTTCATTTTCCATAAAAATAACTCGAATTTAAACATAGCGAAGATTATTAGCTGAAGAGCACAACTGAACTACTAGCTATAAGTTTTGTATAAATCGAAAATCCTTTTTCAGTTCCTTGTAACAAATATTCATTGATTCACTTTTTCATAATTTAATTTTTCTGACTTTAGTAATTTGTTAATATTTATTATTCAAAATGTTGAATTCTAAAGCTTTGAAGAATTATTTTGATCCATCAAGGAGCAAGCAATAGTTTATAAATACTTCAATTTTTTGAAATTTTACAAAATTCTCAAACGAGAGAAATAGTGACGAAAAAAAATAACAGATACTTGAAATAACTTTCATAAGAATGACGTTAATGAATAGATTTGATAACATAAATTGAAGAAGAATTGCAAATTGTTGCATGAACACGATGTTGCTCTTTAACAACTTAATAACAATACGTTTTTGCATATTTTGCACAAAATTTCAGCAAAAATTAGAATTTTGTTTCCATTATTCTTTGACTTTTTCTACTATTCACGAATTGATATCAATAAACATTTGAATCATATTGATTAAGTCCATAAATTGAGAAATACAGAAGAATGATGATACTATATGAACACTATGCTTTTAAATCTATATATCTTAAAATACAAAATACAAAATAAAAAAATACAAAATACAAATGATTATACTTTCTTTCTTTCATGAATAAACTTATAGAAATAAGCAATTTGTTTCTTAAAAATTGGATATTAAGAAAATATTAATAACAGAATTAATAAAATGGAGTTAATACTGTTCGATTTTGGGGGAGTCCACTTACAGAAGTCTTATACTTTTTGTTTTAACCTTTAAATTCTATTATTGAATCGTTGAAAACTAATAAACAATTTAGGATTAGATCATTCAATTTTGGAATTTCTAACTTATTTTTACTTAAACTACTAGTCTCTATCATGAATACTAATAGTTAAAATACATAATAAAATAAGCAAAATAATAAAACAAAGTAAATAAAGTAAAATAAATAAAAGTAAATAAAATAAAATAAAAGTAAATAAAATAAAATA